GGGGGGGGGGGGGGGGGGGGGGGGGGGGGGGTTATTGATTTCGTGGGAGAGAGCAGGAAAGTGGAGCTATGACGATCATCTTGTATTCTCCATCCACGTACTGCCACAACACGTACTGCTACAATATGCATGTCTATGACATGCATGTCTCTCTGGTCGCCTTAGATGAAATGCAGGCACGACCAAGGATGACCACGATCGAAAAGTATCACGCGCATTTACGCACATGAATTATGACTCGTCGTAATCCAAGACGTCCTGTTCTCCTTCCAGCTCGAACCCGCCGTCGTCCATATCGTCTATCGACGCGTCGTCTTCGTCGCTGCCCGCTGAACCTTCCTCCCAAACGTCGTCGAAATTGTCTACGAAATAAGTCCAGGCGACGACACAAAATTATCGAGTTTAAGGGGATACACGTATTGTTTATGATGGACACGCAACATGATGGACGCCAGAGAGGGTTCCTCACGCGCTACAACGAAACCGTGCCATAGCAACTCGGGGCGGTCTGTTCGCCGTGGGCTAGTCCGCGGCGACAACTCATGGTCTGGTGTACTGCCGGATGAAAACACATTTTTGGGCTGGTTGCGCGGCGCCAGCAACTTTGAATAGCAACACAATTCGCTTCAGTACCTTTATTCTGCACTCTTATTTTAAATTATGGCGTGGATGAACGACAACCTGCCTACGAAACACAAATGCGGTCGCAGCAACGGAACGGGATTGGACGCATCCTTACCTTCAACAGCTGGGGTGTCCAATGCACAGACAGACGGGTCTTTTCTTGGCGCCACGTTGTTTCTAGCTATCATTTCTTGTGTGGGTCGTGGGTAAACAACTGTTCCGGCGACACGAAACCCACCCCATGTGTCTTCCCCTCACCGTTTCCTGACCTATGCACCCGCCGGTCCTCCTCGTCGGGCAGTGGTTGGCCCGCTTCTTCGTCTGTTTCCTCCTCGTCTCCACGCCCCCCCTCGGCAGGCGCCCCCATCTCTGTGCCACCTTCCTCCAAAGGATACAGCCCTCCCTCGGATGTTTGACCCCCGACCCCCTCTCCTGTGCAAACGCCCGGATCGCCACCTGGTGTTTCCTCCTCGTCTCCCCCCCCCGCCCCCGCAGGCGCCCCCACCTCTCCACCAGCTTCCTCAAGAGAATCGACCACCTGCCCGGACGTGGTCTCTCCGTCCTCGGGGTTTTCCCCCCGTGCGTGCTGCATCCAAAGATAGACCGCTTCAGCTGCTCGGGCCACGAAGCATGAGATTTTCAGACACGCATGGGAGGATGGTGAAAGGCGGGTGTGCACATGGTAACTTCGCGATATTCAATGTCACACACAACAACCAACTGAAGGAAATTAGAAGACAGGATGACAACCATGGCTTCACCAACACGTACGTGGCGTGCGTTGTGGATTCAGTGTCAATCGCCGCAATGTAGCTACCATCAACTCTTACCGATGATACTTCTTCGTGGAGTCTGCCGCTGTGAACGCCTGACCCCACTTTCTCTCCCCTGAGGTCCAGGGCTACTCGCGGTATCTGAGGGTCCAAAGTCAACGTAGAGATGGTCAGCCTACGCGCGGAAACTAAAAAAAAGACTACAGCAACCACGCCCTTCCATCTTGGAAATGAAGACTACGTCAATGATAAGGTGCGGGGAGGGCGGCTATATTTTCAATATATTTCGTCACTGTGTATCGACTGGTACTTACCCGCCGCGGCCGCAGCCGCAGTCACCGACGCGGCCCTCTCAGCATTCTCCCTAGCCTTCTCAGCATCCGCCTTCGCCCTGGCAGCTGCTGCCTCCTCCTGCTGTATTTCTAGCTCCTCCTTAAGATCGGCTCGGTTCTTGTAGCATTTTCCGTCGCATCCGCAGTGCATAGGGACGCACTTGGAACCCCTCTTATGACAACCGCATGTGTTGTTGTTGCACAAGGGTGTCTTCCTCACTCCCCCGGTGCAGCCGCATGTTAACATCTTTACTTTCCCTTCTTGGTTAAGCAAAGCATATGGCGATAGCTGGACGCAGCAGTTGCCGGAGGTGAGCTTCGTTTCCGGCTTGCTCGCCCCCGCTACCCAACCATGCCCTTGGTAGTCGATTTCTTCCGTCTTCAAATCTAAGGCGGACCCCCAGTAGCGCAGCACTCGCTCCGCCCTCATCGCTTATAACCTCAACGCGGTCCAGTCAGGGCAGTTCTTCTTAGCATTGGGACCATTTACCTTGAAAATAATCAGTCTCACACGGTCGATGAATGTTCTGCTGTCCCCATCCACAGCCTGAAACAGCTCCACCGCTCCGCGGCCGTACGCGACCTGGAAGATGTTCCAGTGCATCTGGAAGTAGCACACACCAAGCATCTTGACGCACTGGTCGATGTCGAGGGTCCATTTCCCATTGACCTTTTTCACGATGGGTTTGCTGAAAAGACCAGGCTGGGAGATTGTGTCCAGCACAAACTGGAACATCTTCGGCAGCTTCAAGAAGTAGAACCCCGGCAAGAAATCGCAACCACTGAGGAGAAACATCACCAAGAACAGCACCACCCTTGCCTCGCCCTCTCCCTCGTTCAACCACTCCGGGGGCTCTCTCCCTTCACCCGCTCCCGTGTTCCATGCAGGCTTGCTAATAAGGGCTGTGTACACGCGGTTCATGTCCACGAACTGGTTGACTTGCTGCCCTTTGTGCCGGCGCACCGTCACACGCGTCCTGTCGTCGCCCGTCGGCTTAATTCTGCCGTCAGCCATGGCGAGTAGGATATGGATAATTTGGTCGGTATCCACAGAGGTTACCAGCCACCAACGGACTCTGCCTAGCCCCGTGTACAACGCGTGGTGGATGATGGCGTGTGTAGTACTAAGCTCCCCCTCCCCGATGCCCTGCCCTTCATGAGCAGTCGGCGAGGAGTCACCCTTCTTCCACACGTGCGCATCGAGTGGTTTCTTCTTTGTTGCCGGTGACCCCTCTCCCCCGGGAGTGTTCGATGGTGACAGTGCGGGATCCACCCCAGATGCGCTCACATCGCTCCCATCCCCAGCCCCCTCAATGGACGGTACCACTATACGAGCCACTCCAAAGGCGACGAAAGTAGCGTCTACAGCTCCTCCTATCCCCTCGGGGTGGCTGATCATTCGTTGCCAAAGGTGCGAGGCAATGCTGTCCCGGTTTCCCGGCACACGGATGAAGGGCTGATACTTATCCCCGGTCGGGATGGGCTTGATAGAAGAGGTGTCAAACACCACTGAGGATGCAGCAACGCCTTCACGCCGCTTGTGCTGTGTACCGGCCTTGATGGGTGGCACCTCGGTGGGGTCGTCGTATCCAAACGCTACTACATACTGTCTCTGTCCGTCGTCATCCACGCGCCCATAGTTTGTCAGGTCCGAGAATATCTGCAGGCGTTCAAGTGGGGACATTTCGAGACCATTGTAATTAACGGCCAAGCTTCTTCACACCGAAACGGGCCTGGCATGCGACAAAAAAAAAACATAAAACAGGCACAAAGCAACAAGTCGAACCATCATCTTTGAAATCTAACAGACGAGTGACGAGGAAGCGCTAAATGTAACCGTCCGCCCGGTGGCACTTGACAACATACGCCTATACCACGAAAGTCGGGTCGTCATACCTGATCGCGATAGTGGTCCAGGTACGCTACCGCTCCCTTTTGGCACTTGCCAACGGGTGGAGACCTGTGCAGATCTGTCGCCCAGTCGTACGCAAACCCGTCAAAGCTGTAAAATACCTCCTCTTGGATGGCGTCGGGACAAAACGTGTCGAAAGCCCAGTTCGCCCCAGCAGCTTTGTTTATGGTGTACGCTCCTCCATCGCCCGACCGAGACAGAGCCATCGGCAACACCACCCCGATCGACCCCATGATCTCGTTCCGCTCCTCCTCGGTCAACTCCCCTTCCATCACTGCGGACTTGATGACTTTCCAGAACTCCGTCGCCAAAAGCGTCATGTCCCTAAAATCCTTGCGCGCCACGGCGGTCGAAGTGGGCGCCGTTGAAGCCTTCAAGGTAGTGTTCTCGGGGGCGAAAAACGGGATCTTACTTGTGCTCGGCTTGGTCCCCCCTACCTTGTCGCCGAGAGCCTCGTACTTCAACACCGCGTCGAACTTCCTCTCAGCGATGTCGTTGGCATTTAGCATGGCCTCCGCCTTTCGTGCTGTGGTCACCGCCCCACCCAAAGACCGCAGTTGATCCTTCCCCTCCCCCGAAAATGCGAACGATTCCGCCAGCACTTCTTTCGCCTTTCTTATCGGACCAACTCGAACCCTGATGACGGCACGGCGTACGTCGCGCTCTTTGTACGACGGGTAGAAGCTAGCGTCAACCTCGTCCACAGCGCCTCGTCGAGAGTCGCATATCAACGGAAGCCTCGTCATGTACGCCTGCGTGATCCTTCCCAGGTTTTGCTTAACGACTCTGTTCATCATCTCCTGTATCTCGCCCAGGAAGACGTTGTTGAAGTTGCGGTAGTTCTTGGTGTTGAACTGAGACGAAAACAGCGTAGCAACCGCCTCCAAGTCAGAGTCGGTCATACGCGCGAGGGTCAGCATATGCCACAAGGCCAGCTGTTGGTATCGGTTCTTCCCCGTGGCTGCGAAAAGAGGAGCAATATTTCGAAACACCGCCACGCATAGCTTGTAGTTCGTAGTTCTACCCCCTGTTCGAAACATGAGATACGTCGGGTAGTCATCCAACAAGAATGTCGCCCAGAAGCGCAGGGTCTTGTGCTCCTTGGCTTGTTCCTTCAGCCACGGCACCACGTCTCCCTGGATGTCTACCGGCTGCGCGGGCGGGGCAGCACCGGGGGGTCCCTCTCTCGCCTCTTTTTGTTTCGCGGCGACATACTGTTCTATCACAACCCACCACAACGCCTCGTACGTCACCGTCAACAAATGATTACTCCTCCTGTACTTGCTGCCGGCGGCGGCGTGCACATCGTCGCCCCCGAGGGCTTTTGCGACGACCTCGATGCCTGCCCCGTAGTATCTCGTCATGAGGGCCTTCGTAACATGCAGCATGATGTGCCAGCCGCCTGGATGGGGTACCATCCACTTGTACTTCTCCGGGTTCCCCTTCTTCAGTTGCACCATGATGCGGTATGTCTCTTCGTCTCCCTCCACCAGGACAAGCCGACTAACTGTGCTTCGCCATCTCCCGTCCACAACCTCCCACACGACCCCCGCATGACAGCTACGTTGGATTCTCTCCAGGGCGGCCTCGTTGTCGGCTAAACGCTTCGTGGACCCCGCCTCCAGAAACAAGTTCCTTGAGGCAACCTTGCTTTCGGGTGCGGTGTGCTTGTCTTGAATTTTGATCTCCAGACAAGACTGCTCCTCCCCGTCCGCGCTGAGGTAGCGCGGGCTGTTTCCAAGAATCCCGTAGAGGAGACGATTCCACCCATCGATCACGGAGTCGTGCTCGTCACCACGAGCACCTTTTTTCAACCTCGCCAGAGTCACGTCATTGATTTTCTTCCACTGCGACTCCAGCCCCAGAGTGGGCAACCCGCGCTTGGTCACTTGGTGCGCGCATGCGCCAATCTGGCTGAGGTGTTCCGCACTCCCTAGCGCCGCATGCGGGTCGGTGTCGTTGTTGTCCCATGACACGGATAGCGCGAGCAGTGGATCCTTGCTAAGCAGGGATTCGTCTGCAATACGTTCGAATAGCTTTTCCCGGCTACACCGATCGCGGTCCCCCCAGCAAACGCGAATTGCCGCCAAAAAAGACATGTTCTTCTGCGACATTCCACGCATTTTGAAGGCCTGGGAAAGCTTGAGGTCGTGGGGCGCCATGTACTTCTGCCTCTTGACGGCTTTACCGATCATCGTCCCTAGCATGTACGTGAACACAGCGTCGCGAGAGTAAATTTTGCTGGGCTCACCCTCTGCTCCCCCAATAAACTCGACAGGCATCGCATCGCCTTCCTCCCCCGGCTCCACACCAGGTCCGGGCTGCCCGCCCGAGTCGCTTTCGTCCTTCTCCGCAGCAGCCCCGCCATCCCGCAACAAGCCTTCACACCCGCAGACCGTTGTGAGCAGAACGGCTAGAGTGCGGGGGAAGCTATGTCGGATGTATTCGAGAGGGGGGGGGATCTCAACCTCGAAGTCGGCATCTTTGTCCCGTCCTCGCTCGCAGTTCTCCCATCCCTTGTGGAGTTCAATATGCCTACGGATGATGCTGCCTGCTTCCGCGACCTTCGCCACATTAGCCCCGTGTTCATCTCGCCTTTGCTGATCATCCACCGCATTAGCAGGCGTCGTAGCGTTGTCAATGCGCTCTGCCAACTGTTTCTCCGCCGCCAACAAACTCTGGTGCAGCTTAGCAACCTCGCGGTGATCCATGATACGGGGCATGACGTAATGATGGGCCGTGCGCCCATCTCCTGAACCAACCTCACCACCGGTGTAACTGCAGTATTCGACATCATCGAGGGTTTTACCCAGGTCCTCAAATACTACTTGCATGTCCTTCGACATTGTCTTCTCGGAAACAATGGCGACGCCGCCACGGCGTCGCGCCTCCTTGTACATGCCGACGGCTTGAGCGAGGTAAACGATCTCGCCGCCAACCAGCCTCCCCTACAGCTTGCGCCGAACCACGGACCGGGCTCCCTCCACCGAGTTCCTTGGTATGGGGTCGCAAGCATCCCTGAGAGCCAGTTCTTCCGCCAGACCCCACCTCTTGTTGACACCCTTCAAACCGTTGTTGACGAAATTAGCACCCGCCATGTAGCAGACGTTGCACAAACGACTGGTCTCGACTAAAGTGCTACCCAAAAGAATTTTTTGCGGGTTATTGCTGTCCCGGCCGGAATGAACACACCTCAAAGCGCGAAGAAAAAAGCCAGGGTGTCGCATTTTTTTGTGCTTGCCTCCGTCGCTTTGCAGATCACGCAAGCGCCTCCCCCTTGGCCTATCTCTTCCTTCTGCCATTCCAGAACTTTGCGGTACATGCACTTTGCAGCGTCACAGAAGCATTCCCCTATCTCCGGTCGTCTTCCCTCAAGGACTTGACCACGGTCCGACCCTTCGTCCATTCGCTCCGACCAAATTCTTCTCGCCCTGTCTACAGTGGATACTTGGAAATTCCTCCAGTACGTGCGCCCGTCTGCAGATGTTTTTGGAGGTTAATCGCACGCATATCAAACGAGTTCACCATCACCCCTTCTCGTCCCGTGCGTAGTTTTGTTGCACGCACTTCTGGTGGTGGTCTTTTTTCCTTGCGAGTTACCCCCTGACGTACTTGACGGCGCCCCTCGGCGTGCTACCCTGTCAGCACGGGATGGTCTGGAAGACGATGCTCCCGAATCACCACCTCCATCTGACGACGGTACACCGCCCGAGGGTGCAACGACTTCCATGTTGCCGTCTGCACCACGCCACTCGTCGTTTCCGGTGAGTTCTTCCCCGGTTCCGACCCGCCCGTTCCCAACATCTCCACCAACGTCGTTGATTTCGGATTCCAAGTCGACGTCTGTTCCTCGCCTAAGCACCATCTTCATACCATCCGGTGTTGGGACCCAGACATGTGTGCCGTTCACGCCAATCACGTCGACCAACCACCAAGCGACCCTCCCGCAGTTACAGCAATGCCTTTGTGACGAGATATTGCAGGCACTACAAACTGCGCATTTCCACTGGTCGGCTGCGCTCCCACAAAATTTCCCCAACGTGCCCACCCGCCCATGTGTCCGTTCATCCGCAGTACTACGGTCGACATCTCCACTAGCCGCGTCGTTGGGAGACTCCAGGTCGGGCCTACCTCCTTCCGCTTCCACCCCTTCGCGTCCTCCTTGGAGCGGCGTCGCCTCCAGACCCTCCGGTGTTGGCACCCGTTCATGCATCGGCCCTACGTCGGCAATGTCGGTTGGCTCCACCCTTGGCTGCATTGCTTGCCTCTTCGAAGGATGGTCCATCCCAGGAGAGCTTGGGGAACGAGGTCTCCTCCTGCCACCTGCACAACACCAGCAGCCCATTTTCACCGTTCATTAATAGGAAGGTGACGGCAAAACGCTGTCCCAGACGACTGCTTTATGTGGCAAGGATTTTTCATGAGGATGTTATATTTTTCTGCAATCATTGCACGAAACGCAGTACCAAAATAGGATTCGATATCATTCTAGAAAGTCGAGAAGTCGTGGCGAATTGCGACAAGCTTCCTCAAGGCAAATTTACAACAACCTCGGTAGACGAAAGCTACACCGGAATACAATACCAGCCGTCTTGTAGCACCCTGCGCTCGGCGCCCAAGCCACCCTGAACGAAAATGGCACACGTCTCACCTGTGCAGGTCCTGCACTCCTCATCTCCCCAGGCGTTCTGGCTCCCGCACATTGGGCACCTCCACCCGGGTGCCGGGTATTGATGACCGCTGTCCGCGGCTGAGTAACGCTCTCCGCCAGCCCCGCTCGAAGGACCGCTGACACCGCCGGCGTCTTCCTGTCCTTGTCCTCGACCGTTGTGCCCGCTTCTCCCACCTTCCTGCCCGAAATCCAGGCGTGTAGGTGGTGCCGCCCTCGCACCTCCAACGCTTCCACCGCCATTAGAATGGCCATAAACGCGCCGGTTGAAGATTCGCTGAGCTCGTGCACCTTTGTGCTTCGTAGAGAAAGGGGTGTGTGAAGCTCGAGGGGGCTGTGGCGGTGTTGGTATTGCTTGCACCACGCCAAAGCAAGCAGCAGAAACGTAACACCACATGGCCGGCTGGCATCTCTCCATCGGCGTATCATAAGAGAGATTGGGCAAGAGCCACCACAGCGCACCCACATACAGCATCATCAGACGACTTTTGCGCCGGTTGGATAAACCTTTTCGACGGATATCGCGGCGCACCGATCCCCCCCAAAAAACGAAGATCACGACAAACCCAGCGGCAGAGGCAGCCATATCTGGGTTGGCACACGCCCAGACCCAGGCTTGAAGACACAGCTGTGGGGTCGGTCTTGGTAGGGCCAGAGCGCCAGCAACCAGTCCAGCCAAGAATTCATGCGGACTCCACTGCAAAACCCTCACGACGACCAGCTTTCCCACCAAAAGTAAGACCTTCACCACAGCCACCACGAATGCATCCCACGACCCGCCCGTGGCTCGTTCCCGAGCAACCGAGGCCCAAAGGATGTACAGCAGCCCCAAAAGACCTGCCACCACGCACGCCTGCATCGACGTGTCGCCCAGAAGAGCTAGAGCGACACACCACCATACCAGCATCGAGACGACCTTAGCGATCGTTCCAACCGGAAATCCGGAGTACCTACAGTTCAGCCGGTTACGTGTGAGCGCGCGCGATCGACCAACATGTTAGACGTTTTCTGGCCTTAGCATGGAAGGATGCAAGTACACCTCCCGCATTCAATCATTTATAGACCTACAGCGGAACGCAACGAATCCCACAATCCTGCATAACACGCGGCTTCCAGGCAGCCATGACTAGGGCCATTTACTACAGTACGGCAAGTGCGACCATACACGCCGCCTGGCCGATAAGTTAGGTTATCAAATGCGTTGTGTTGGTGTGTCATTGCTGATTCCGTTGTCGTTGTTGTATCATTGCTGGCTCCGTTGTGGTTGTTGTGTGGTACACTACCAAAAACGCGCAGGACTCGGCACATTGAACAGCAGTACGCAAGTCGTACCACGAACTGTAACGCGTCAATATTACGTTCAGGAGGGCTGCACAACAACTTAAAATATGAATTGTTAGGGTCAGGTTAGGGTACTGCACAGGTGGGCGTCAACAACGGAGAAGGTAGTCATGTTACGAAAAAAGTTTCAAAGTTCACGCCAGGTGTTCTCGACACAAGATACCACCCCCTCTCGACCAATCTTCCAAGCTCGGAGATTTCTCCACAGATCTATTACCGTCGAAAACGGCGGCGTTCAACCCGTTTCGCCGAGAGCTTTCCCCCAAGTATCGTTTTGTTCATACATCCTCACATACATGTGGAGTAAATCGAGCTTCGGGAATCGGTCCAGGGGGTGTGGTATCTTGTTTCACCTACGGTAGATACCAGTGTTTTTTTTTCGTCTGCTGCTGGGTGCACAGCTGTACACTACTACCATGAACCCAAGTGCGCATATGTACATTCGCCAACCGCTGTACAAGACTTGAGATTGCACTATCATCGCCGTGGCGGGCGGTAAGACACACAAACCTCCTTTTTCCCCACATGCCAAAAAGGAAGGGTGCAACCAAGAGAGGCGTGCTCCAACAATTAAACGCGCTGTACGATAGCGCATGGAGTTCGCCGCTGCAAAAAGTGTACAGCAACACGGGCCTACTTACGTCCACTTCGCCCTTAGGCGAGTAGCTGCCGTGCCATCACCAGGCCGAGGGCGCGTAACCGCCACCGCAACTCGTGCGGCCGCGTACCACCGCCCTAGGTAGACCAGTTGTGTGTCATCACACCACACACACGACACACGCGCCGGAGCATGTTCACGCTGTCACACAGACGTTCTGAACTATGCCGACTCGTTCACCACTACAGCAGTGTCAGTTCCGGTATTCAATCGTGGACTTTGATCGCGAAGCCCCTCACAGAGGGGCAGAGGCGACCAACATGATCTCACAGACGCGGAGTGTTTCAGTTCGCTGGTGCAAGTTCAACTTTACGTGTTTTCCGAAGGTCACACTTGAGATGGCTGAGGCTCAGGTTCTTAACTGGTAAGTTCTTAAGTGGTGGAGCGTTCTGTACCTGTCCCTCTGTCGCCTTTCGCCAGTTGGTGGGGTCCCAACAACATCGAACTACGTCAACCGCGGGTGGTTTCGCTTCTTGCTCAGTAAGAGCCTACCGGTGCACCCGGCTGCTGCATGTGAGGCGATTTGCGCTACCTGTTTATGTCAAGCGATGGACTTGGGCCCTACAGGTTGCCATGCAGTGCTAAGTGACATCTTCCAACGGCCCAGAGCGAGCAACGAACCGGGAGGGGTTTCTACGCTTCTTTTCCTTCCTCCCCCAAGCCTGTCGCGCCTGGCTCACTTGTTGTCTTGATCTATTTCGTTTTTCATGCTTGGTTTATTGGAGGCTACAGTGCAAACCTCGTGGCTCCTCAAGTATGGTTCAGTAGGGAATCACAAACCATGATCCCTCCCCGAGTTTGAGCAGCTTGCCCCTGCTGTTGCCGACACGACTCGGCCTCGACTGTTGTCTGTTTCGCCTTGGGAACGGCCGGTTGAACAGCGAAAGAGGATCCTGCGTGCTGCGCCCCACAATCTTTCTGTTTTTTCGTTGGTGATTTTCTTCCTTGTAGTGAACGTTGTACACATGCGGTTGCTGTTGTTATGCTCGGAAAATGCTGCAAAGGTCGCAAGGTTATCGTCTCTGTCGCTTGGGCTGCACGCCGTGCTCGCGTAGGAGATGCGCTGTCCTCGATTTCTTCTCTGTGCCAATATCCATGAAGATAAACAACGGCAGCACGGTACAGACAACACCCGACGATCCGCCTTCGTTTTTTATTTTCTTGCTGCAGTGCATGGGTGGTAAAGCTCTTGGGGATGTAGGCTTGTGGGTGTTGACGACCCGTATCGGCTCTCGAAGAGGTGTTGTTGTTTGTCGTCAAAAAGGGTAGTCCTAATTTGCTCTTGAGTTGGTGCGTGCTCTCTCCGCAGTGTGTCGCGCAAGTAGAACGTGCGTATGCAGCAATGACCACTGATGTACATAAGCAGAGCACCCGATTGTGCAATCTTATAGTCACAGGTCAAAGGCAAAAACTCAAGTGCTGCGTGTAAGCCTGTACGTGTCCTGTACGGCTGCAGCGCGGCGTGCCAACTCACTTGTTGTGCCGCTGGACCCTTTAGTACGAGAGGCTTGGCTCTGAGTACGCAGGAAGGTCCGAAGGAGAAGAAGATGGTGTGGTGGAAATGTAATTACTTGATCAGTGGAGACCAGAAAGAATGTAGAGAAACAGAGGGGTAGTGAACCCCGGAGAAGTAGAGAGGTTGAGAAACCCCAAAGAAGCAGAGGGTTGGAGAACCCCCAGAGAAGCAGAGTGAGAGGATGGGGCGAGTACGCGCTCATTCTCGAAATCATGGAATCACACCTATCCGACAACGTCGACCAATCACACGTGTTCAGAATACGGTACTGGTAAGCTACGATACGTTTCTGGAAAGATGACTTCAACACCATGCTCTCGAACTTGTGCCACGTATGCACATCAAGTATTGTACTTGCACGCACAAGTGATTACTTGCACTGACGTACGACAAACCACAGAATACAGCTTCAACAATTGAACTAATAATGTACTTTCCAAATTCGACTGCTGAGCGCAGACAAATATTCATTCATTCAAGCACGCAAGTCTGAGTTACTTGCGGCGGTACATATTCTTTCATACACACAAGTCAGAGGCACTTGCGACAACTACCCGATGCATATATATTTCCGAGCACGCAAGTCTGAGCTACTTGCACTTTGACATATTTCTGGAAATCTAGGCTATGCAGATTATTTCTGGATATGAAACACAGAACATCAACCATGTCTCCATATTCCGAGTATGACAGACCATACGGAATTTTACCTACATGACATAGCGACATTGACAATATTTGAACTAGTCAAACTGACTACCTAATGTTGAAGCTACGGTAGTGCCAAATATTCCAACATGCCCCCTCAATCAAGCAATGTCCATAATCTATGAACAGCTTGTACTGAACATCTAGGATGCTGAGATACTGCGAACTATCTACTTGTAGTACGCTGATACTGTGAAACTTCAACGAGCAGAAAAATACATGCATGACCTTTGGAGTGAATAAATTCTTCAGGGATGCTTATCCGTGACAGAACAATGGTATGCTCCACCGCTCGCTCTGGGTTCGTAATCAAAATGCCAACAGACTTTCAAACCTATTGCATAGCTCCAAACTATGGTATTCATGAACACACACAGATGCCCCCTCGAATCGCATTAACGGAATACGAGTTACGATGTAGTCACAGATATGCCCGCTCGAATGGTATTCACTAAATACGAGTTTCGATATAGTCACACCAATCCATTCGTCTACGCTACCGGTTATCGTGGATGGAACAATCTCCATGGTTGATTACAAGAAATAAAGATCGATGTCCCGACCATAATCGTCCAGCCTTTCTTCGGGATGAGGGGTAACGGAAAAAATCTCAGCTCGGCTACGCAGAGTTGCCTTGATTTCCTGTGCACGTTTAACGCTGAAAACTAGGACCCCCGTTTTGAGAGATTCTGATATCCATAACTGAGTCAGCGTTGTCCAAACTTCATCCTCCAACACTGATCTGATCAGGTTGGCATCAGCAATATTATCGAGCTTGCACATAAAAATCGTGAAAGACATGGTACTTGCA